GACTCTGTATCACAGAGCAGACATCGTCCCCACTAACTCAGGAGCCAGGCAGAAGGAGAAATCCCACACAAGACAGGCTCTAGAGCAATGTGGATATCCTAACTGGGCCTTCCTAAAAGCAGAGAAAAAACCCAAACAGGACTCCAGTCAGCCATCAGGTAAAAAGGAGGAACCCAGACATAGACCAGTGGTCATTCCGTATGTTGAGGGAGTGTCCGAGAAACTGAGACTTCTATTTCATATAGGCTTTGCCCTTTAATACTGTCGCTTAGTGGGAAACTGAGACGTTTATTTAAAAAAAAAAAAACAACGTCCCAGTGGCTTTTAAGCCCCAAAATACATTACAGCAAACACTGGTTCATCCCAAAGATCCAGTCCCCCGGCACAGAGTAATATTGTGTATGCTGTTCAGTGTCAGGAGGGCTGTGATCAGTTTTACATCGGGGCAACAAAACAGCCACTGGCCAAAAGGATGGCCCAGCACAGAAGATCAACATCATCAGGCCAGGACTCTGCGGTCTACACTCATCTCCAGGCCAGCAGTCACTCTTTCAGGGATGAAGATGTTCACATCCTGGACAGAGAGGAACGATGGTTTGAGAGAGGAGTAAAGGAGGCCATCTTTGTGAAAATAAATCATCCATCATTAAACAGGGGTGGAGGCCTCCGGGTTCAACTGTCCCCCTCTTACAATGCTGCTATTGCTAGTATCACTCAACCCCCTGTAAATAGTAAACAGCCATCAGTGTGCTAATGATCCATTGTTAGGCTGATGGTCCTTCTTGACCATGTGAGCAGCTGTTTTTGGTTGTCAGCAGCAAACTGGTTGATCCACTCTGAGAAGGTGCTATTTAAGAGACTGAGCTGAATACAGCACCTCAGACTGAGGAAGTCTTTCGGATGAGAGACGAAACGTTTCTACATTTTTTTGCCTTTTTTTTTTTTTTTTTTTTGGAATGTCCAGAGGACCAGATTGAAGTTTTTTTTAGATTTTTCTACCTGGATTATTGAGCATGCATCAGGATATCCTTTACATGTGTTTTTTTGTCTTTCAGATACACCTGGACCTATATCTGGACCTACCATTCTATGTTCGTCTGTCTCTCCTTCCCGTCCTCTCAACCAGCCGGTCAAAGCAGATGGCCGCTTGTCCTGAGCCTGGTTCTGCTGGAGGTTTCTTCCTTTTAAAAGGGAGTTTTTTCTTTCCACTGTTGCCACTGTGCTTGCTCAGGATGGGAGACTGCAACGAAGCCAAGATTCAACTTGTCTGCTGGATTCCTTAGATAGAGAACTTTACTAATTGGCTTTTATGTAATGTATGTGAATGTTCCTGTGAAGTGCCCTGAGACAACTTTGTTGTGATTTGGCACTATGTAAATAAACTGAATTGAATTGAATTTACATATGTATATGTTTTATACATGTATATGCAGTGTTTCCCCTACCATTAAACAAGCGGGACGCCCTGTTCCGTCAACAGAACCGAGCGCCCCATCTACCGAACCACGCTCACCCCAACCCATCTGCTGGCACTGAAGTAACACTAAGCTAGCGCCTCTCAATTCTGGTGCACTAGCTAAAATGCTAGAGGCAGCTTCTTCCCTCATGCTGAGCCCTCAAGCTGGACACCCCCCCCCCCCCCACACACACACACACACACACAGTAAAACTGTTGGTACAAACAGCTCGTGGCTCAGATGTGTCTCTGCGCCCCCCCTCCCCGGCTCTAAAACTGTCAGTGTAATCTGCACGCTGTGCAGTTCAGGACGTCAGTCTGTCTGTGCAAAGGCACTATATACTATAAGTACAGTCCATTTACATAATGCATTTCACTGCTCCGTGTAAACAAACTTTGATTGAAAAAACTGTAGCATGTTTTTTTATAACTGTTTATTGTTGTTGCTGTTGTCCATTGTTGTCATCTTTCTTTGTTGAAATCAGGTCTCTCTTGTAAATGAGTCCTCGAGGCTCAATGGGATTTACCTGTATAAATAAAGGTTGATTGATTGATCCGTCTGCCTGGGCTCTGCTCATCAAGTAACTTCTGGTAAGATGGCGCCCATGTACTTGGCTTGCAAGCCACCTCTGCTGATGGTGTTCGGATTATTTATGTTTTCTTTTTTTTTATCTGGGACATAAACTTAACAATATTCAAATCAACTTTTGACTGTTAACATCTGCCCATCCCAGTTTCCCGTGCCAGCTTTGAGCTGAGCGTCTTTGAACTCTGCAATTCGCCTTCGACTTTATGCGCACTCGTCTACCGCCCATCTCAATCTAAGGATTTCATAAATGAGTTTTCTGATTTCTTGGCTGAAATCACACCAAAATATGAGCATGTTTTCATTATTGGGGACCTTAATTTGCATGTGTGCTGTCAGGAGAAGCCCTTGGTTAAGGACTTTTTAGATTTATTGGACTCATTTAATCTAACTCAGCATGTAAACGGTCCCACCAAAGAGCGCGGACATACACTGGACCTTGTTTTAACTCGTGATGTGACTGTTAGTAATCTTGAAGTTGGTGATAATGTTTTTTCAGACCACATGCCAGTCCGGTTTGAGTTCACCCTCCCCCATCTAACTCCTAAGCCGTGCGTTCCTGCACGTAGTAGCCGGGCCATTAACCACTTCACTGCCGCACGTTTCACAGATGTTTATAACTCTGAAATGATCATTCAGCCCCCGGTGTTTCTCACCACCACTGAGGAGCTGACATTCCAGTTCAACTCTGTCTGCTTAAAGACTCTGGATCATGTTGCGCCTGTTAAAACCAAAAATTCCAAACTCAGAGCAGAACCTTGGCTGAGTGACGTCACCAAGGCCATTAGGCAGCATTGTAGGAGGGCGGAGTGAAAGTGGAGGAAAGACAGGCTGCAGGTCTCTTTTAAAATACTTAAAAGAGTTGGCGCCGTTATCGGAAAACAGTGAAAGCTGCTAAATCCAAATACTTTTCTGATATCATTACCTCAAATTCGCAACCCATGTGTCCTCTTCTCTACCCAAAACTCTGTTCTCCACTTCACTGAACCATCACCTCTGGAAGCCTTGACTGAGCTGTGCGAGAACTTCTTACATTTCTTTTTGGAAAAAATTGCGACCACCCGGTCTCTCATTTCCCCTCCAACTCATGACCCATCCATCCCACCTCAATCTGTAGCTCTATTTGACCATTTTGAACCCATCACTCTATCTTCTCTAGAGCAGGTCATGTGCAGTTTGAAACCTTCTGGTTCCCTATATGATGTGGTCCCCCGTCGACTACTAAAGGAGGTTTTTCCTACTCTAGGTCCGTCCATTCTGGCTATAGTAAGCAGTAGTTTATCCACTGGCGTGGTGCCAAAAACCTTTAAACATGCTGCTGTGCAGCCTCTCCTGAAAAAAACCAAACCATGACCCCTCAGTCGTATCCAACTTCCGGCCTGTCTCCAAACTCCCATTTGTTTCTAAACTACTGGAGAAAATAGTCGAGTCCCAGTTGAAGTGCTTCCTGGAGGGCCACGCCATCTTAAGAGCTATTCCAATCTGGCTTTAAACCTCTCCACAGCACTGAAAGTGCCCTGCTGAAATCTTTAATGACATTTTCCTAACCACTAATATCGGTGATTCTGTGCTGCTTGTCCTGTTGGACCTCACAGCTGCCTTTTACACCATCAACCATGAGATCCTCATTGCTAGGTTGGAGCAGTGGGTGACCATTACAGGGTCAGCCCTCAGTTGGTTCAGATCTTACCTCGCTGACAGATCCTTTTGTGGCTCCATCAAAGATTTTAGTTCTGCAGCGGCAGAGCTTAAATGGGGGGTTCCACAGGGGTCCATCCTGGGTCCCCTCCTATTCTCTTTATACCTGCTGCCGCTTGGTGCTATTTTCCGGAAACACAACATTCCCTTCCACTTCTACGTCGATGACAGTCAAATTTACTTCCCCCTAAGACACAATGGTACATGCTCTATTCAACCTCTGCTCGACTGACTAGCTGACATCAGGGACTGGATGGCTTTAAATTTCTTAAGTTTCAATAAAAAGAAGTCTGAAGTCATGTTGTTCCCTCCCAACGACACGATCACAAACCACTGTATCGACCTCTCTGCTCTAACCCTGTCCGAAAAACAAAGAGTCACTAATCTGGGCGTGATAATGGACCCTTCCCTGAAACTTAACAATCACGTAAACATGATTGTTAAATCATGTTTCTTCCAACTGAGGCGGCTGTCTAAACTGAATCCCATATTGTCCAAAAATAACCTGGAGACCGTAATACATGCATTCATTACATCCAGGCTTGATTACTGCAATTCGCTCCTGTTTGGTATCAGTCAGACCGCCATTGCATGACTACAACTTTTCCAGAATGCAGCTGCCCGATTTTTAACCAGTACAGGCAAAAGAGATCCCATTACACCAGTTTTGGCCTCACTGCACTGGCTACCGGTTCACCTTCGAATCCTGTTCAAAATACTCCTGTATGTCTACAAATCACTGAACAACCCCCCCCCCCCCCCACCCCGTATTTCTCTGACCTGCTACAACCGTATGTCCCACCACGTTCCCTGAGGTCAGCGGACCAGTTGCTCCTCACAGTTCCAGGAACTCGTCTTAAGAGCAGAGGGGACAGGGCCTTCTCTGTAGCAGGACCAAGACTTTGGAACGAGTTACCTCTGCTTGTCAGACAGGCCCCCTCCCTCTCGGTTTTCAAGTCCTGTTTTTAAAAACCCATTACTATTCAGTATCTTTCAACACCAGATGATCTGTGTTTTGAACCTGTATGCTCCACACTGGTTAGTCGTCACTATCTGCATCGTTTTTATGTCTATATTTCTGATTTACTTAATTTTGTATATTGCTTTGTGTGTTACCTGTTGTTCTGTCTGTACAGCACTTTGGTTGTGCCTTGTCGCTGTTTTAAGTGCTCTATAAATAAAATGGTATTGTATGGTATGGTAAGTATGCCACGTGTGAACAGAACTTGAGTTTTAGTGATAACGCTCTACTCCTTCCAGATTTTTTATCAATGCTGTGAGGAGGTTGATCCCAGGTTAGTATTGGAGAAGCTAATGTGTAATGTGAGGGATGGCATGATCACTGAGGGGGTCATGCTTCGGTTGCTTCGAGCTGTCCAGCAGAAAGCTCCATCCTCTTTCCCTGCACTGCTGCTTTCTCTGATGGAAAACTGGGAAAGGAACACACTCCAGGATGAAGGTACAGAGGAGCTCTTTGGGTTGATGTAAGTTCGTATTTTCACTGTTACATTTCTAACCTTTCCATGTCTTTTCACAGTTGACTCAGAACTACAGGATGACTCCAGAAATGTAAAGCCAGAGCCAAAGGCTGAAGATGATAGCAGTAAGGAGGAGACTGAGGAGGAAGAAAAAGACACAAAGGCTGCAGTAGAATCTTCATCCTCTATTTCAAATGTGTCCAAGTCCTACATCTGCGTTTGGTGTAAGAAGAGATTTGACTTCAAGTGTAGACTCTTGGCCCATGTAAAGCGGTGCTCCATGTCCCAGGACTGTGAGCTGCAGTGTCCACAGTGCCCCAAGAAGCTAGCCAACCAGCGAGCTCTGCAGCGCCACCGTTCCGAGGCTCATTGTAACCCAGGACGGGTGAAGAAGAAGGTGGCCTGCGACCTTTGTGGGCGCACCTTTGCCCACCCATCAGGTGAGATTTTGCTGTGACACTGCAGACATGTCAAACAAATGATGAACTCATGCTGTTTTTCAAAGTATCATTTAAAGAAATTCTAATAATAATAATAATAATTACTATTGTTATTCTTGCAGTGATAATAGAATTTATTTAAATTGTTCTTAGAAAGTGAAAAAATTATTGTACACAAGCACACCTGTTTGCATGTCTATCCTTGCTATTCCATTAATGTTTGTAGCCTAACCCTAACCATTACCAGTACATGATTAACCCTAGGGCGGCACAGTGACTCAGTTGGTAGAGCTGATGCCTCTCAGAGAGAAGGTCACTAGTTCAAATCCCAGCCCGGGATCTTTCTGGGTGGAGTTTGCATGTTCTCTCTGTGCTGCGTGGGTTTTCTCCGGGTACTCCAGTTTCCTCCCACAGATCAAAAACATTTATTTTTGGCTGATTGGTAACACTAAATTGTCCCTAGGTGAGAGTGAATGGTTGTTTGACTTGTTTGTCTCTATGTATCTCTGTGATGGATTGGAGACCTGCCCAGTGTATCCCCTGCCTCTCGCACAGTGACTGCTTGACATGGGCACTAAGGCTGGGCGATATCTCAATATTTAAAAAATATTGAGATAATTTCATTTGCAATGAGCCCAGCCCCTCACCCACTCCCCCCATTTCCTGCTTCTCCGGGTGGGACGGCACGTAGCATTCGCAGAGCAGCTTGTGAGCAGGGAAAAAATAACGGCTGTTATTTTGAGAACTTTCAGATTTAATTTGTCAGATGTGCAGCAGAAAAGTGTTTTCTAATGCCGAAACAAGTCCTGATGAAAGGTTCGAGCACAACAAACGTTTTTCACCATTTTAAACAGCGCTTTAAAGTGGAGTATGAAGAGTGTGTTAAACTTCATGCTGCAGCTGCAGCTGTGAAGACTTCCTAGCTTCCTTCCCTGAGACAAACTACGGTACAAAACTCTTTTACCTGTGCTGTGCCTTATGAGAGGAACAGTGAGAGATGGCATGATATTAATAAAGCAGCAGGAAGTCTCAGGAAGTCCAACATTTTACTGACCACATCAACTCTGCGGATAAATACATCAAGTTCACACGAGAAGATGTAAAAAATGGCAGGTTGGCTTTCTTGGACTGTGAGGTCTCAGTCTCTGATAGAGGACATTTGCAAACCTAGGTGTACTGCAAACCCACCCACACAGACCAGTATTTGCAGTTTGACTCCCATCACCCTTTGGAGCACAAGTTAGGAGTCATCAGGACTCTGTATTACAGAGCATACATCGTCCCCACTAACTCAGGAGCCAGGCAGAAGGAGAAATCCCACACAAGACAGGCTCTAGAGCAATGTGGATATCCTAACTGGGCCTTCCTGAAAGCAGAGAAGAAACCCAAACAGGACTCCAGTTAGCGATCAGGTGAAAAGGAGGAACCCAGACCAGTGGTCATTCCGTGTGTTGAGGGAGTATCAGAGAAACTGAGACTTCCATTTCATATAGGCTTCGCCCTTTAAGGCTGTCGCTTAGTGGGTTTATCCCGTCATGCAAAGCTTTGCACTGAAAAATTTAGTCCACGTCCACCTGCTGTGTGGGCCCCACCCGGTCTGTATAAATTACGTTAAGAGCTGGTAATCGGCTCCCATTTTTCTTCAGCAAGCTAATAGCACTGTCAGAAGAATGAAGAAGGAAAGTTGTCTAGCTGACCAACCTTTGTTAAGACTGCCTGTGGCCGCCACGTCAACCTCCTGTTATCCCGGTGAGTTCTCCTCCCCGAGGAGAAGCAGACGAGCAGTCTTGTTTTCAAGGTAAGCGCTGAGGAGTGTTTCTCAGTGGCAGGTCACTACACGCTGGACTTCGCCATATTGTAATTTTGCTCTTATCGCCGACTCTCGGAGCGAATCGGATGTTTCCTCCGGGACAGGCGACGTCAGCAGCAGCCCCCCGCTGCTCTTTCCCTCCTGGAGAGCGTAGTGTCTGTAGAGGGGGGCTGAGCGAATGCTCAACCCCCTCACCTCGTTTCGCATCAGCGACCACACCGCTCACAGCCACCGGCATAATCCAGGAGGCAGCTGACATGAAGGGACCTTTTTCCGTCCTTCGCCTTGCCCGCCAGTTCGGATGATCTAGCGGGAAGGTTTTCTGGGCTCCATTCCGGCTCACCGTCCTGATCCCATCTGGCCTCGGTTTCCCAGCAGGACGTCCTACTGGGACAAGTCCGCAGCTGGTTCATGGTAGAATAGGTTGCCGGTTCCCAGGGCTTTCACCGAGCGGAAATTCCCTCAGTGCCCCCCGGGAGCCGAGCCTTGACGGAGGCTTTTTCGGAGTAAAGATGTCCAGGTTGGACCAGCGTCCTTCGCCTCCAGATAACTATAGCCAGACGGTGACGTCGCTGTCCAACCGAGCTCACCAGCGTGCGTTCCATGCAGCCGCAGCGAACAGCACGTTATGCTGTTGGCGTACAACGTGCAAGAGGCGGGAGGGGACGTACGCTCCCTCTGCAAGGCAGCTGACGTCATTCTCAACCGGTGCGCCTTTTTGTTGTCTGCCGGTCTCGCATTGCAGCCAGAGGACGAGGTTTCCCAGAGGTTCACCTGGCCTGTCACTCCACCTCCCTTTCGGAGGAGCAGAAAGCTTTTTTGTTAGAGGGTCCCCATCAACGAGGGATCATTTTCAAGACGTTCCATGGCTGCACAACGCCTCCCCGCTCTGCTACGCCAGCCCCGCCCGTCAGACATCCCCGGCATCCGGAAGTTCAGCTTTTCCCAGAGATTGCCAACAGGTGGCGCCCTAGGACACCAATTACTCGCTCTTAACGTAATTTATACGGACCGGGTGGGGCCCACACAGCAGGTGGGCGTGGACTAAATTTTTCAGTGCAATGCTTCGCATGACGGGATAAACCCACTAAGCGACAGCCTTAAAGGGCTACGCCTATATTCATAGAATCTGGGGTTACAGTACATAACCAACGGTTTATTTTTTAAACATAACGTCCCAGTGGCTTTTAAACCCCAAAATACATTACGGCAAAGACTGGTTCATCCCAAAGATCCAGTCCCCCGGCACAAACAGAGTAATATTGTGTATGCTGTTCAGTGTCAGGAGGCTGTGATCAGTCTTACATCGGGGAAACTAAACAGCCACTGGCCAAAAGGATGGCCCAGCACAGAAGATCAACATCATCATGCCAAGATTCTGCGGTCTACACTCATCTCCAGGCCAGCGGTCACTCTTTCAGGGATGAAGATGTTCACATTAGAGGATGACACAGGTGTGGATTTTCATTCCTGTCCTGGTCCCACAGAAAAAAATCATGTCCTGTCCCAATCCTGGTCCAGAGTAAAAAAAAATAATCCTGTCCTGTCCCACTCCTGGTAACATGACTCTTGCGCCTGTCCTGCTCCTGTTCAGAATCACTCCCACTCCTGTCCTGCTCTTGTTTTTCATTTATTTTTTAGGAAATACATTGAATTTGTTTTGATCTTCTACTCATTCCTGTTTAAATTACTTTGTGTTGTGCAGTTTTATTTCAAAAGATATGGCAACAGGAACAGTTCATCTGTGGTGAAATAGAGACATTAATTTCTTTAATCCGAACAAAAACTTTCACTAAATATCATAAAACAAATAATACATGGCCTGTAGTTCATATAATTTTTCTATGGAGGATCATCTGCTGAGTCCCTGTTTCTAGCTCTTTTGAAGGTCAGTTACAGTAAAAACCCATCCATCCATCCATTTTCTTCCGCTTATCAGCTGTCCGGTCGCGGGGGTAGCAGCCTAAGTAGGGAGGCCCAGACTTCCCTCTCCCCAGCCACTTGGGCCAGCTCCTCCGGGGGAATCCCGAGGCGTTCCCAGGCCAGCCGAGAAATATAGTCCCTCCAGCGTGTCCTGGGTCTTCCTCTGGGCCTCCTTCTGGTGGGACGTGTCCGGAACACCTCACCAGGGAGGCATCCAGAAGGCATCCTAAACAGATGCCCAAGCCACTTCAAATGGCTCCTCTCAACGTGGAGAAGCAGCGACTCTACTCCGAGTCTCTCCCGGATGATTGAGCTTGTCACCCTGTCTCTAAGGTAGAGCCCAGACACCCTGCGGAGAAAACTCATTTCGGCCGCTTGTATCCGAGATCTCATTCTTTCGGTCACAACCCAAAGCTCGTGACCATAGATGAAGGTAGGAACGTAGATCGATCAGTAAATTGAGAGCTTCGCCTTTTGACTCAGCCCTCTCTTCACCACGACAGACCTGTACAGCGCCTGCTTCACTGCAGACGCTGCACCTATCCGCCTTTCGATCTCACGCTCCATTTTTCCCTCATTCGTGAACAAGACCCCAAGATACTTGAACTCCTCCAATTGGGGTAGGGCCTCCTCCCTGACCCGGAGGAGGCGCTCTACCCTTTTCCGGCTGAAGACCATGGCCTCGGATTTGGAGGAACTGATCTTCATCCCGGCCGCATCGCATTCGGCTGCGAACCGCTCCAGCGAAAGCTGTAGATCACAATCTGATCAAGCCAATAAGACCACAACATCTGCAAAAAGCAGAGACGCAATCCTAAGGCCACCAAAACGGATCCCCTCAACACCTTGGCTGCGCCTAGAAATTCTGTCCATAAAAGTTATGAACAGAATCGGTGAAAAAGGGCAACCTTGGCGGAGTCCAACTCTCATCAGGAACAAGTCCGACTTACTGCCAGTAATGCGGACCAGGCTCTGACACCGGTCATACAGGGACCTAACAGCCCATATCAAAGGGCCCGGTACCCCATACTCCCAGAGTACCCCCCACAGGGTTCCCCTAGGGATGCGGTCGAACGCCTTCTCCAAGTCCACAAAGCACATGTAGACCAGTTGGGCAAACTCCCACGCACCCTCCAGGACCCTGCTGAGGGTGTAGAGCTGGTCCAGTGTTCCACGGCCAGGACGAAAACCGCACTGCTCCACCTGAATCCGAGGTTTGACTATCTGATGGACCCTCCTCTCCAGAACCCCCGAATAGACCTTACCA